ACTCGCGCAACTTTTCTTGAACGATGGATTGAAGAAATGCGGGTAGAGTGGTGGTATTAGTTACGAAATCGCTAGATTTCATGAAGCAATGTCTATCGTTGGAGGCTCATTCATGCCTTCGCAACTTTCTCAATAATTTGCGTTCTAACTTTCTCACGCCGACTTCTTCGACTTATTGTGCCAGAGAGGGGGAAGCAAGGTCATCGTTCAAGAAAAGTTGCGCGATTAATAGCAACCTCTGCCATGCGCGTAAGCGATTCCTCGAGAATTAGACTAGAGAAGTTTGTGGCCGTATTTGACACAGAGTTTTGTGTTTCATCTCACGTATGTTATTTACAGATTTGTTTTTTTCGGTTTGTTTAGATTCTGACAGCACATATCGTTAACAAATTTAATTTAAATATATTATTCTACAAGGTATATGATTATGAAGTCACCAACTTTTCATTTTGAAAATGGATCGAAGTAAATATTATTATGAGCATTGCGATGATGCTGAGGTACTTCTTAATAATAAAATTAAATCTATGAAATATATGGATCCACATCCCTTTCATCTGATACGAAAGGTTCTAACGAATTTCGGGCCCCTGTGCTATTCGAGTAGAAGTGACTCACGTACATTTTTATAAACCTTTAAATATTTATTTTTGAAGATAATATTAATTATTATCATCGACAGAAATATTATCTACATTTAACTCTAATAATCTTTGGGACGGGGATCCAGAATGTTCATAAACCCAAACTCCAAAACGTTCGTAATTATTCACGGAGTGGAGGAATTTTCAACTCTAAGTTAAGTAGAATTAGGTATAATGTAACGTATTAAATATAACTAGCCGAATGTGGCACTGCTGTAGCTTTAAACTTTATGTTGTTTGACTTTTTTTTCTTCTTCGGTTGTCCTTTTTATTCAGTTTAGGTGTATCGTCAGCGTTGCGAACTAACCACTTAAATCTTGCAATTATTTTGTGACATTGAACACGATTTCTACCTTCGACGTTCCTGAACTTCGGTAATGTAACTGTTTAATAAAATTGACTTCAAGGTTTTTTCGAAATGTTTTTCTTTCAATTTGTCGTAGGACATATTTTAAAATCAACCGAGTGACGCGCGCCCGCCAATCGCGGGAAATGAAGCGGGGGAGGGTCACGTGAAGCCTACGAGGTGAACTAAAGACGCTAGCTCGTTCATTCTCAATTCTGATCCTATACTTTCAACATTGTTTTCTGCATTCTGACCATGCACGTTAAGATTCCAGAATGCCTTGCCTCGTCTCATACGCCACATCTCACAGACTCGGGAGCGCTCACTAAGCAATCTCATTGAGCCATAACGATATGTGCCCGACCGAGAACAAGAGTGACGGCGGGTCGGAGCGCGAGTTTCGCAACCGTGCATTGTCGCCAATCAACGCCGTCGCGCCACACAGACGCTAGCCGCCCGACGCTCACGTAACTGGGGCCCCTGACCACCGGGAAGACGCAACCTGACCGCCGCGCTGAGGGTCGAGGTAGGGAGCAGACTGCCACGGCTCATGACCGACCGGAAAGACACCGCCCGGCGGTCAAAGATGGACAATGGGCAGTATGGCCGTTTAAGATAAGATTAGTTTTAAGATAGTTCGTAAGATTTATTTTAGCATGAGGCTTCACCTCTGATACAAAAACAAAGATGATTAAAATAATTTCAAGAAAAATGAAACAAAGCGTTTGAATGTCGGGGTAGCATTAGAATTAGCCCCATCACTCATGCCTCCCTCTAGGAAGTCTACCGACGGAGCAGCCGGGGCAACGGAATCGGCCCCGGGACGGCAACGGGAGCAGCCGGTGAATCGGAAAAAGTCTGGTGAGTCGGGGTAACCACGCGGAGTAGTGGTTACACTTCAAATACTTTTTTTTCACAGGTTTCGAATATTTCAAAGAATTTCATATTGTTATCGTTGTCGGTCTCAACTTCTAAGAAACAACCTACTTCTCTGCCTTCTGAAATTTCTTCACTAAAATTTTGTTGATCAAGAATTTCTTTTTCAGGTAAAAACCTTCCTGTGATTCCTCTATTCTTAAAATATCACAATCTGTTCTTTTCTCTTCCTCCTGAGATTCAGCTTCTTCCTCTTCCAACGACACAAATCCACGACTCATCATACACTCGATAAATGTTTCCCAATAACATACCACCTCAACCGATATTTATTGTGACGTAGTGAAATAAGAAATAAATTTCAATAACAAAATAAAAATAATATATTCAAAGATTATTTACAAGTTACAATAAATTGCTAATTTTAAAACACTTCGGCAACCTTTTCCTTTCAGAACACTGCTTTACCGCAGAAAATACAAGCCACGCGTGATGCGCGCTGTCGGACCTCTGTCCCGTGACAATTACCGTCACATGGCCTGACGCCAAAATTTAACCCGGTCGTGGCGACCGTGTGCCCACAGCACGCGAGATCGTCTGGCCCTTACTCTCCGGACATCTCGCCCACACTCCTACACTTCCTCGTACACACACGTACAAGCTCCCCGATGCTAACTGAATGAGAACGCGGGCGCAGATGGCGCCGCGTTAAATAGTTGAGGCTGACACCCCCACCACTGTTCCATAGGTAGGCTCGCCGGCTGGCGCGAGACTCCCAGGTTTGGTTAACGCCCACACACAGGGTTCTCAGGTTGGCTACCTGCTTCCGTAAACGAGGCTCGCCGGCAGCATCCTCGGAGTTTATAGCCTCCGGTATTTTTGGCTCTGCGGCACTACCTGAGTCAACCGCCCGAGCGCAAACTCCCGGATGTTCAAGCTCAACCCCTTCCTCCCCCGCAGCGTACTTTCACCGACCTAACGGTTCTGGCCCTTGTGTTAACGACGCCACATTATTATCAAAGGCGGTAGGTTCGTCATTTGAGACACCCACGAATATAAGGAAAGAAATTTTTCAAAATGTCTTGATTTATTCTCTATGTTAAAACATATTCAATTCCATATTTCATTATTAGGTAAAAACACATTTCAACCAAAGATATATTATTCATCAAAATTACACTTTGGAAATGTATTAATGGTGATTTCCAACTTTCATTTTTGATTGTCACTGACTTCCGGTAAGTTGTCAGTTGATTTTCTAAGTTTACACCAAAACCATTGAGTCCTGGATGAATTACCAATTTACTTTTGGCATTAAAAATATCAAACCAAGCATTCAGAAGTTTCAAAAACATTGCTGTTACTTCCCAATCACAATTTATTTTTTAATGCATTTTTTATAGGCCATTCAATTGCTTTAAAAACTCTTTCTGAAACAATGTGCTGCAGAATCCACTTTTTGTCTTTCCGAACTTTTGATTTGTAGGTGATATCGGGTAATGGTTTGAGCAATCTGTGTCGTCTTGTGTAGACGCTGCCGAAAGTTGCTTCATGCTTTGATTTGTTTCCCATCATAAAAAAATCAATTACCAAGGAAATAAGTATCAAGAGGTGAGGTGCACCATCAAAAATGTACACTTTTATATCTCCATTCATACGATGGGGAAAAAGGCACTTATTTACTCGTGTATAAACCAATTTCTTTGATCCTAGGTGTATCATATCCATACCAAATGAGTTGTTTCCATTGTCCAACCGGTCTCCTTGCCATAAACTGTACTCAGTTTGGTACTTGGAATTAGGTTCAACTTCTCTTCCTTCTTACTTGAAAAACAAATGTCATCAAATGGGAGATGCTATTAATGAAGGGTTAGTAGAATTAATACCTTTTCTTTCATTATTTTTATAACTTCTACCAGAAGACCATCCTTCACATTAAATGGATATTCTTTCTCCTTAAATACCCGTATGATTTAGCACTTACACTTAGTGAAATTGCTGAGGCAATGTTATGTGGTGACCAATGTTTACTCTTTTGTTGGGTATTAAGTAGCGTCTTAATTTGACCTGGAGTAAAACAATTGTATAAAGTGGTACTCAACCTATCCTATCTTTCCTTAATAGATTTTAAAGATTCGTTTTCCAGTTTATTTTAGATTTCTAAGACTGAAACTCTATTATCTGAAATCTATATATCTTGTGTATCATCCATTATTACACTGAAAAATATTTTGCCCTTTCAAATTCTGTTCAAGTTTGCTTGTTTTAGTATGCACATTCCCATAATTTTTCAAAACTACCAGCAGCATAAATTAACTCACTATTGCACTTATCAATATTGTTAATAGTCATGCTCTCATCAGTCTCCTAGCACTTCTCTAGCAATTACATGCCTTCTTTTCTGCACCCTTGCATTTCTTTATTTCTCTGGGCAACTTTTCTGCCGGTATTACATCCACTTTAAATTTGTAGATCTTTCAGGATTATAACCGAATAATTTTTGTTTCAGTTGGACCATGAAATCATCTTGTTTAAAAAGAATTGAAGAAATTAGTGTTAGATAATAAAATCAATCATATTAATTTGTGAAATAATACATATAAGTTGTGATTTTCAGTTGGTTCACATAACTGTTCTAATAATTATGTTAAACAATAGCATTTTAACATGTGTTGAAAATTTCGTTAAACACTGTACTTTCTCTATTTTCAATATTCTACCCCATACCTCATTGCTCTATCTTCATCTTCCATTCCCTCTCACACCTAAATTAGCATTATTTTTCTGTGTACCCAAATGAAATTGTTAATAAAATATACAAAATTATTAGTGACGTTCCAGATAAAATGTACTTGTAGCTCTTTGTACCATCATATTTATCACAATTTTATTGGCATAAACAAAATTGATGTTAAGATACCAGTACTCTTTATATTGTTCCTTAATACTGCCAGTATTGAGTTTATTACTACTGTTATTTGTTTATAGTGTATTGTGCTTTTCTGGTGTTGAAATTATTTCTCTTCCTGTTTTTTCTCTTAATTTTCATTTGTTTCCTTTCTCTTCCACTTTTCTCCATAAATTGACGTTTGGCCCTAAGCCGCCATTATGATTGAGGATTGGGTTAACTCAATCGTTTAAGCCATATGCCGAGATGGTCCCTAGATTTGTTCTCCCAGACGTAAATGTACAACTTGTCCTCTCCTCTTAAAATCTTACTATTCTGTATGTATGTACAGCAAAAAGTGAAACAGCACCGCAAAACAAAATCTGCCGTTGAATAAACTCTGAATCCGCCCGCCTGCCACGCAGGTCTAAACGTGATAATAAGCCAACACAATGCAAAACATCCACTGCGGATATTTCCCGTCGGTCTGTGGGAGCCTTTAGACCAAAAAAAAAAAAACTTTGAACTCGTAACCCAAGACGGCATTAAAATAGGACACTGAATATATGGCGGGCAGTTTGAGACTACATTGGTGTGACATCTTATGATTGCAATAATGCGAGTGTTTGAAGATGGTAATCAAATGTTAAATTACGACAGTTCATTATTTTCGTTACTTCAAAAATATAGTATCCGTGGATATTAAATGAATAAAAATAATAATAAAAAAAAATCCCAGTTTTCTTGCCTGTAGCTACCCTATAACTGATTAGCATGAAATGAGGCCATACCACTTTATATTTAAAGTAAATATACTAATGGAAAACAATTGATTACGCACTGGTGGGTAAATTGCTTGGGAACAGTTGTGGGACAATGAAAGATAGTCAGTTGAGAAAAGTTGCTGAATGGCGATGTAATTGTCTATCAGAAGATTGAAATGCCTTTATCAGTCTAATTGAAATATATAGCATTATGTTCATCAAATCACCATGGATGAAAGTACTGAAGCAAATGCAGAATAGCAACTAAACGTTAAAAATTGTATGAACTGAAAATGTACTTGGCACCTTGTAATATAATATCTTTAAAATGTATACAGCACTCCCATGAAAGCATCCAGGTAAGAATGTGAATAGTTATTTATCATAAGAAAGGTTTCCACAACGACTACTAATTTACAAGCAACTTTTTTAAAGTATTATATTCTGAAATGCATTATCAATGAAGCTGTACAAAGATACAAAAATACAGACTAAACAGAAAAATGTAATACGATGTATTATCTGGATTACACTCTGGGATGTCAAAATTGCATTTTCAAATGGAAACTAAAAGTAGTTCTTGGCTTTAATAGTTTAGTCATTTCAACTTCTTAGAAAGACTGTAGACATAAATGCAAAGTATTTATGCAGGTCTTAAATGTTATACAATGGTGAATAAAGTATGCAATATATTTGAATTGCTCTTTCCAAATGTTCTTTCATACCATTTTTTACATGCAAAAAGTGAAGTTAAAAAATAAAGGCAGATGAATATAAAACTAAGACAAAATCAAAATTAAAGCTCTTCAGAGATTACATAAACATATGCACAAAATCCCATCTATTTTTAAAGTAAAGAATTCTCCACCCCCATCAAAGTACTTAGTCTTCTCTTGGCATTGCACCACCTGCCTTCATCCCTGCTTCACTTCTGCATTTTATTGAAATTTAATCTGAAGTAAAGAGACTATCAGGCACAATTTAAGTATACTCATGGTAACAATATTACAGCTCAGAGTGAAGATAATTGACATTCAACTAAAATTAACAATCTTCGGCACATATTTGTGAACAGCTTTCGTATTTCATTAAAATATTCCATACAATATAATGTTCATTTGGGAGAGAGGGGGTCATCACACTAGTAGTCGTTCTATTTCCTGTTGAATTGTAGTTATTTGCGGTTTTAACTGGGAGCCTTCATTCACCACTATTGAACAAGCAACAACAGGTCGAGATACTCCACAGGCACGTCCAAGAGCTGTAAAAGCAGAAGAAAACACATAGTAATTGAATAAAAACAAAAAGTAGAATGGCACAAAGTTACTCAACATAAAATATAAGAAACACTATCTCCCTCAATATCTGCCAGGGTCACATCCATTCACATGTTTGCAAAACATTACCTTCATACCTGCAACATATGAAGATTGCATTTGATGTTCCAATTCCCTTTTATGAGTACTTGATATGTGTAAAGCAGCAATGAGTTTGCCGATTACAAACAGCCTTCTATCGAGGCCAATGTCGCAGGAATAGAGCATTTTAAGAAAAGGAGATACAATTCTATTTATTCTTTCCGTGAATGTACAGAGACTAGACTAGGGTATTACCTTCCGCAATTTACATAGTAATGATAAGTGTACTTCCACTAGAAGCGCTGGTCTTCTTGATTTAGCCAATTGTCAGTTTTCCCATTCATGTGAAAATAATAGTATATAAGAAATAAAGAAAATAATTTTAATATTGCAATAATGAAACTAAATCTGCTCCAGTCAAAAGTTTAGCTACCATTTGAGATTCTTGAGACAGATTCTGTATTCTTATAAGAAAAAATAGAATTTTTCAAATTTGCATATCCAGTGGTGAAAAATATCGTGAATATCATTCTCACAAAATCAGAATAATTAAAAAAATATATATATTCTTTCATATCACCCATACATTCAAATTAATTTTTAAAAATTCAATGAAGCCTACAGAAGGTGAACGATCCTATTAACAAAATTAAGTTTTCTAAATGTGCGTGAATAATATCTCGAGCTACACTTTTGAACATACCTGCACACCCATGATTTAATAAAATATTTTGTACAATTTTTATTAGCATCATACGGCAAAGTTTAATTCAACAGTGATCAATCCATTCTTCAAGCCCACCAATATTAACTCTTTAATAGTCATGAAAGTTACAGAATTTACTTATGAATAATACTTTAATATTATTCCAAATGCAATTTACCAAGTGGTAAATAATAAGAGAAAGGTCTGAGAACATTAAAAAGACCATTGATATTCCTAACCAGCACAGTAGTGTAATGGACAAGAGTTTTACTCCAATTAAAACAGAGGGCAAGTTGACTGATCAGCTGAGACACTTATCCAATTGGCAGCATAGCAGATCTAGCTACTACAATTAAGAAGACAAAAGAAATAGAGTAAAGGCTATCAGAACAGAATTAATGATGCTGCCATTCTTATATCATGCACATTAAGTTACAGAAAGGCTCATAATGAACAAGAGGGTTTTTAGTCCAGGACATCCAACTCTTAGAAAGATACTTGAATTTGGCAAGAATTATATTGTCTTCAAAAAGTGAGATTTTACCTTCGAGTACTGAAAACCTAAAATAATGTAAATCCAGTGCTAATTATCCCAATTTCTTCAAAATACCTAACAATTTCAAGTTTCACCAAAATCTTTTAATTGTAACTTAAATTCATAAGCATGAAAGTTTTGTTTTATCGTGAACATTCAATAGATGTGTATCAATGATAGAAAAGCTTTGAATTCACAATATTTTCACCAGGATTCCAGACCAGCCAGGAACAAAAGTAGTCATGTAAATAATTTTGGCTAAAACTAGGTTATGGTTAATTTATCTGATCAGGTGAGCATCTATAAATTCTAAAGAAGTTTATGATGTTTTTTGTTGGTGCCGCATAATCAAAGTACCACTTTAGTATTGGCATATGGTTTTAATTTTAGTCAATTCTTAAGCAGTCTAAAAATCAAATTACGATTCATACTATAGACCACTTTCATTGCAGGCTAGCCACATCCAATTTGAAATGCCAGGTGTTGCAACAGAAGGGTGTTAAGAGTGTCTCCTTTCTAGGTCAAAGGATTCATGACGCTTATCCATTTGAGTCTTATGGAATCCATACTTAAAGAATTTTTTGTACAGAAAGAGGTTACGATGACAGATCCTGCATGTCATAAGGGTGATTTCCACTAATGTCAATATTTTCATTCATATTTACTAAGAGCCACTGTTCAGACACTATGTACAAGTGTTAACTTAGCATTACTGAAGGAATCCAGTAACAGCAAAATATCAAAAGTAACTAACTGTTTCATATACCATTCTCAAATTTTCCAATTTCATCATACTGCTGTGATAAAAATTTATACAAAGCCACACTCCAATGGATTACGCAGTTTCTCAAAGCAGAGTGCAAACAGCACACTTTCTTAAAATGTGAAATTTTAACAAAACATGCAGTTTAGAATGTAGCACAACAATCCTGTGGTACATGATTAGCCAAGTTCTAAAATCATCTTTCCTTAGTTGTTTAAAGTAATCCCCTTACAGATTTGCAGTACTTTCACCCACAAACACTTTCACAGGTTGATAACTTCTACTGCAAAATGCATTCACTAAATGAAAACCTTGTGGTTGCTATCACTTTTTCAGCCCTTGGAAGAGTTACACTAATGACTGCAGATTCACCCTCCTTACACCTGCAGGCCCATGTCCTGTAGAGCAGATCTACAAATTTAAAATAACTCTGTTAGAAAGATGTGCATCACATGTCTGATACCCAGAAGGGGTGAATGTTCTTTTCAAATAATTAACCAAAAATACACAAACATGTTTGCATGAACATCTTTGTTGTGTTAAGTGCTCCCAGAAAGCAAGTTTCAACACATTTTTTCCACAATCAAGAGAACACCATGAAAAATTTATTAGAGCCTATGATGGGAGATTATAGAACTTTCTGCCTCGGTTCGGGAGGGCTCAAGTTCCCAATCATTGCCCTTAGCCTTTAATCAAATGGTCCAGCCATATGAACATTAGACTAAGTTTGTAAAAGCCACTAAGCGAAGGGTGCAAATAAATTACTTAAGTGGAATAAATGCAATATTTACAAGTAATTATGAATTTTGACTATGCTAGAAAATAAAACCCAAAACAAAATTGTACACTTATTACTATGAATTGCAATGGCGCAACTACATTTATGTTTATTCCAATGCAAGTTATACTTCACAAGTGACTGGACCACTCAACCTTTCAGGCCATTCCGCTATCCACCACCTGCGGACCCGCCCAGTAGCTGAGGCTCGCCCTGGGACAGTAATCTTTGGCAATGGAAAGGGTATGTTTACACGGAATAAAATAATGTGTAATAGACTCTCAAAAAGCTGATAACTATTTAAAAATGTATCAAAATATTAACATAATCGAACAAACCTAGTTTAATAAATTACTTAATTACTTAAGAGTGCCTTCCTGAAAACTGACCAATCAAGAACATTGCAAACTAGCAGCATGCAGCAGAAAAATGCAGCTGAATAAAAAAAATCTATTGTATAACTCTGCAAAAATATTAAATATTTTAACAAAACAATTTTCACAAATACTGCAGTAACAAAGTCCAGTATGTATTTAGTACAGCATTTTTTACACATCGATAACATAAATGTTGCTGTTCCATTATGAACAGGATGGCCAGTGATTTGGTGTTTTTGGAACTTCAGGTTTTCCACTAGTTTTTCAGGTCCAAAAATATAAATTTTCTAGATGCACACTACATCTCTTACTCATTATTACTTAACCATACACTGATACTACACACTTCTCTTTCAACCAATTAATAGAATGTAGAATTTTGTTCAAAACTAGCTTTAACAAATTTTAATCTAGGAAACACCTAATAATTATAATTAATATTCAGCGTTTGCTCATTTTAAGAAATTATTCTTCCAGCCAGATATGTATTGATATTAATGCAGGATCTGATGCAGTGTTTTCCTTACATTCGATTTGGAAAATTGTCAATCCTACCGCAAACACTTTGAACAAGCAAGAAGGAATATTTGTTAAAGTTTATGTTCTATTAACGACTTCACTAAAGAGACGTCATGAATACAATGGATAACTGTAGATTATCTGACACAAAGTATTACAATATTTAAATGTTTTTGAATGTATCCATTAATTGAATGAATTATATACACAAAGCAAGGTTGTGACATTGATGTTTTCATAATGTCAATGTTTTTATAAAATCATTGCTAGATTTAACATCGATATTTTGATGCTAATTTTTTTTAACATCTATGTTGAGGATTTAATCTTTTTATGTGAAAAAAGTCTATAACATTCTTCAGACCAAACAGACTTCACGTAAAAAAATAAAATCGAGTTGTCATCAATAAGGAAGAGTATATTATTTCTGAATAATCGGATCCGATACGCCACGTTTTGTTAATTGCTCTGAAGACACTTGTGTTCATTTGTCAATTACACCTCACTTAAAAATTAATAACCGAGACCTCATTGAAATTAATGTTAACTTAAATGGTTACTAATCCAATTTTATAAACTTTGATGTTTAGTAACATTGATGGTTCTGGGTCAAAGTTCTAACTTTAAGCAACAATGTTCAAAAACATTGACTTTTCGTTGATGTCGTATCCCTATAACTGAGGTGACAAAAAGTCCTGCGACACATCCAAATATCATGTGGGACCTCCATTTGCCCGTTATACGTGTAGCAATCCACGAAATATTGAATTCCCTAATAATTTCAGAAATGGAATGTCCCATGGATCTAGCTCCAACTAGCATTGCACGTTCGAAGTCTGAATTCCAGTAGTGTAGCCATAATGTCAGAAACCTTTTCACATAAATAACTTTGGTACAAGTGAAAACCGTGCCAATACACTGCTCTTTAACCTTTTGTACACTATACCAATGCCAACTGTAAATTTTCATATTTCTATACCACAAATATGACCAGTACATCCAGCCATCAACTTTCGTGAAATTAGGGTGCATCAGACATGTGCATTGTATTTCATTGATTTTGTTATTTCACTCTTTTGCTGTTAAAGTGGCACATGGGTGATAATATTGGAAAATGTTGTTTATTGATAATTTAAAAAAATATTGCTCCAAAATGAGCATTTACTCCAAAATGATTTTTTGTAATGAAATTGACGATGCTTACTTTGTAATCTATGTCTAACGC